AATTTAAATTTGAATATTCAGCTTAAAATTTTAAATAACTGGGAGATGAACCATTGTGTTATATCTCTTGTGTCTTGTTCTGTTTCTTTTTTGTTGTTGTTGGTTCGAAATGAGTATTATTGTTTGGTCATGAAGGCTTCTGAATTTTAAATATGTATTATGTTTGATTAGCGTCTGTCTCTGAACGCTTTGGTTCTCTGCCGAGTGTTGAAAATAGAGATGGAAACTTGTCTATGTTCTGTCTATTTAAACAGGTTCTGCTTTCATTTCTTGACCTCTTAGGATGAGAATTTTTCTGGCTTCATTATTTTGGCATCGACCTTGAGGGGAAATCATAAGTGGTGAATTGCAATTTTTTTAGATTTGCTGGTTAGATATTATGCTGTGATTGGTTTTGACACTAAATAAATCTCAGTCTAGGAAGTCCAAACATGGTAAAGATGATGCCGTTTAGCCTCAAATTTTGAAAAATGTTTCTTTCACCTCAAACTATCTCCTCAAAACACCAAGTTCCTGATTAAGGTCACTGTTTAGACGACCAAGATTGCTGCGGAGATGTTTAGAAAGTACTCTTTCTTCGAGGACTTTCTTGGTGACAAGGCTCTCGTAAGCCACGTTGAGGTTCCTTAGAGGAGGTACTACCCTCTTGGATAATTATGCTGTTTTCATCTTCAGCCACGGACATTGTATCTTTGAGATTAAAAACATTCCTAAGCAGTAAATTTTTCTCCTCAAGCATCTGACTTTTTTCTTTTATTTGTTCTTTGCAAATCTATCAATTCTGCATGCGGAGCCGCCACTTAGACTTAGGTGCACCGTCTCGTTTTTCTCCATTTTCCACTTCAGTCCTCACTTGCCTCATATTCTCTAGAAGTTCAACGTTCTCTTTCTGCAAAATTTCATTCTTCTAGCTCATGGTCTCAATCTCTTGTTCCATGATCTCTTTCTTTGACACTTTTTTTTCACCCAAGAACTTTTCTCAGATCGATGTTGCAGAAGGACCTACTGCTTTTCCTCTTGGCTTTTCACACAAGAACTTTTCAAGCCCTCAATGTTGTCTAAAATGTGCAGTGTTGGTGGTATTCCTCTTGCTTCATTTTCAAGCCCCACACACTTGATGAATATCCACTTTAAGCTTTCTAATTTCTTGTAATAAAAACTCTTCTTCCATCAGTTGCATAAAGTTTTCAATCTCCAACTCAGATAACTGTGTTAAAAAATCAAGATTTGGTACACTTCTTACTGTGACTACATCATAACTTTGATAAGGATTACTGCTTTTTTTCATTGGTCGATGGATTAAAGGTGAGATAGGAAATATTGATAATGGAAATCATATTTCACTTTTCCAAAAGCCTGTCAAAACCATTACCTAACATAAAGTGGAAGGTAACCTAGTGTCCATTATGATATCATGCTACATGTTGTATTGACAAGGATGTTTTTGTTCTTACATTGAATATCACGACTATATTCTTTACCAAAAGACTGCGTAGCGTCTAATATTCTATTTCTAATGATTAATGGTTTGAAATGGGTCTCCCACACTTAAGTGATAATCCATTGCCTGCTTTTACTAATTTTTACTTGAGGCACTACTTTCTATTTTGCATTTTGCTGTCACCTTTTCTCTCTTGGATGAGTTCAATGACACACATGCATACACCAGATAGATTTTGGACTGCGACTTGGGATTCATCTTTTAATTAGTTGTGTTTAGAATTGTAATGTAAATTATTGATTTTCCCTTTGCCATGGGAGATATCATTTAATATTTTCCATTCCTTACCTCTGAGGGAGTAGTTGTTTTGCATCTCCGACCTTTACTATTCAACCTTTCCACCGGTTGACTTTTCTTTTCATCCAAGGGGCAAGAATAACTATATGGCATCATATGGTATCGGTTACCCCCTTCTTGTTCTTGCTCTAATTTCTTTAGTGAAATCTGCCACGGAGACTGGCGATTTATGTCTAAAGTCTATACAAATTGATTATATCAAAATTAATAAATAATGTGACATATTACTGTTTAAATTATAATAACTTCTTAGTATATTAATTCAGGCTACCATCTAATGAAACTGATATTAACATCTTTATTGATTTTATACACAAGAGTTGATTGGTTCCTTGGACAGAAGTACATTTTCTCCTTAACGTTTTGTGCAGTCTGCCGGGATCTAGAGGAAGACGACATACCTGTTGCTCTACGTGGTAAGATTTTGGCTTGAAAATCCGAAATTTTCTCTGGCTGTATTTTGACCATTTGACCGATTCCAAATTAACATTTTGGCAAAGTGTTATTTAAGAATATAACAGTTTCTAGTCACTTTTTGGACTAATTGGACAAATTATTCAATTTATCTGTTTTCATGTGCATTTAATAATCTGTTAGATGTCTCATCTTATGTAACCATGCTTAATTATTTGTTAGCTTGCTTGAAGTTGTTCTGAAAGAATGAATTCACTGGGAGTGGATTGGGGAAGTTGTTGGCAATGATTAAATGTCTGAATGGCTAGCAATTCACCTGAGTGGCCGCCGATGATCAAGGTTCCATGTTGAAAACAGTTCTTCCAGAAATTTGGAGTTTTGGTTTATTGCTTTTGCCACAAATCACGATGGTAAGAGTCAGCACAATCACAACCATCTGTTGCATAGCAAATTCTTCTGGTCTTTGATAGCAATGCTTGTTTGTGTGGGGTCACTATCCTTTATATTGATTAAAAGTATAATAGAAAAATGTTTCTTTGACTTTTTGAGCAAATAATGAAATTTTTATATTTAATTCTATATTATTTATCTTTATTTCTTTGCTCTGTATCCATACTGAAATAAGCATAAAGTTAATGGAAGAAGGAAGAAAACCCTGGTACTGTGATTGCTATAAGTAATTATTATGCGTTGAATCTATGAGACGTATAAGCCTAAGAGTAGGAAACATTGATAAATGGAGCCTGAAACTGAGAATGGGGTGGTAGAAATTATTGGATGGTATTTAAAACTTTTATTCAGATTCTCTAACGAATGGCCATGCTCTGAACAAGACGTACACTTTCCTGATTGCCTTCTTCAACAGTTCATGCCTTTAAAATATTTTCTCAAAAGTAATTATTCTTATATGATCTTTCTAAGGTGTAAAATAATTATATGTCTAGAAAGTAGAATTGTTAATAAAAATCCAAGAGAAATTCACTTATAGAAAATTATATGATTTGGTAACATTATAAAATGTACGAGTATAAATATGACTAAAATAATTGATTGAATGCTTTATCTATTGTCAATTTATATATAAGGACATTTGAAACTCTTGAATAAAGGCAAAGAAAATAGACTGTATAATTAAGTATTTCAAGTGTTCTAAGATAAGATAGTTGAAAGAGAAAGATTTTACATAAATTATTTTTAGTCTTGATTCTTACACAAACTGTTATTATGTATCAGAATAAATTTTCAAGTTGAGATATAAGTAGAAGGAAAATTCATCTCTCATTCGACTTTAAGACCTCATTTTTATTATTTGTTATGATTTTGTTTTTAAAAAACGTATTGATTATAAAATAAATTGTGTAATAATGTTGTCAACACAGTAGTTATAGTTGAAACTACTTTGACAACTGCTAGTAATGACCTGCATTGATTCATAGTATATTTAAATAAGTTTATGAGTCTAATTCAAATAAAATAAAATAAAATATCATATAACAAAAGAAAACTTATATATTTATTGTCTTAAAAAAAAATTTAATCATGTGAATCTTTTATAGGTAGATGAGATAATAATGTTATATCTTTCCAGAGAACAAGTTCCAAATAATTTCGATCACTTAGTTACATAAATCATTACAAAAGTTTGAGTTAAAATTTGTTATCTTATGTTAACTTTGCTTATGAAGTTGATAAAAAAAAAAAAAACTAAGATAGCCCTAGTGAGTAATCTTGGTTAAGGGTGTGGTTAGCTTAGCTATGTGAAGCTTCTAGCATGGAGACAATGAGTGGTAGACCCGTTATCGTGTGGGTTGCAGTCCCAGTGAGCTCTGCTTTTGGGATCAGAAAATGAGCGGTACTAAAAGTGATGAAGCCCTTTAAACCGTCTGATATGACAGATAAGACGTAAAAAAAATGATGCAAAGGACCACCTACACTACACCACACTACATCTGTTTTACATACTCTGCTCCTTACAACTTCAAACGTATAATAAACCAATCCAACTTATCACAACCTTAATCCCATCATAAAATATTCCACAACTTGAATTTTTGCCTCCTTTGACGCCACTTTTCCCACATGAAAACATGATATACCTGTACTGAACAATATCCTCCTTCTGCATCACGTGAAAAAATCACGTGACTTTGCTGATGTGTCATCACCATAATGCTTATCTCTGCCTGTGTTAAAGGTGACATGGCTTCCGCACCAAATGAAATGAGTGCTCTGATTCCTTTTTTTTGTAATAAATAAATGAGTGTTTGATAGTGTTTTTTTTTCAACATTTCTATCATTGAGTAAAGTTTCACGTTAGATTAGATTCACTGAATAAACAATGGCCAGTGCCAATCAATGACATCACTGTAACATTTAACCCAAAAATTATCAGTATATCAATAACACTGTCTCGGTTACCACATAATACATTAAAGTTCTGTATTTTGAAAATAGTCGTGACCATTTATAATATACAGGTGCATGAAAACTTTACTTTTTTTTAAATTGGACTTTTTAATATTATATTAAAAATCGATTATAATTTATTCTAACGAAATTTATATAAATATATTGTTTTTACTCGGTATCATAACACGTCTATTAATGTCTAATTATACGTTCAAATCTTAAAAAAAAGTTTGCAATATTTAATCTAATTTGAATTAATCAGATGTCTAATATAATGTTTTAAAGGCTAAGAAAAAGATAAATGTGAAAATAATGTGATAAGAATGTTTGAGTGTGAAAGAGTTTCCCTGAAGGATGATTTATTTAAGTCCCCCTTGCTGCATGTTCCTTACTTCCTTTGGGCACCAACAAACACATAGACACATCCACTTAGATCAACTTTCCTCATCCCTTGATTTCCACTCCACCAAGGTACCAAACCTACCAAATGGCAGCAAAGCCTGCAGAAGAACCTCCTCATGGAGAAACTCTCAAGTACCAGGTGATTCATCATTTTCTCTTTTGAGTTTGCATGTGCATATCCAGTTATTTCTCTCTATCTATCACTTTTTCTTCTCATCAACTTCATCCAAATTTCCAATTTCTCCATTCATTTTACAGACGTGGGTTCTCAAAGTATTGATCCACTGCGAAGGCTGCAAAAAGAGAGTCAAGAAAATTCTTCAAGGAATCGATGGTATCTTTAATACTTCTTTTGTACATACATCATCCCTTTTATTATACAGATATATCTCATCTTCAAACTTTGTAGGTCTTGATGATATAATGATTATCTTAACATGGAAGTAACTAATGATGTGTTGGAAGAAAAGAAATACTGATTATATGTTTATAATGGTATAGGGGTTTATAAAACAGAGGTGGATTCTCTGCAGCACAAGGTTACGGTCACTGGTAACGTGGACGCCGAGACTCTCATCAAGAGGCTTTCAAGGTCAGGGAGGCTAGTGGAGCTTTGGCCAGAGAAACCAGCTGAGAAGAAAGATAATAAAAAGTCGGGAAAATCCAATAAGGGTGGTGATATCAACAAGGAGAAGGAAAACCAAAAGAATGGTGAACCAGGTGCTGATGCTGGTTCAAACGAGGGTTCTAAAGATGGTGCCGGTGATGGTGAAGATTCCGAGAAAGAAGAACACGGTGATGAATGTGAGGAGGGAGGTGGTGGTGGTGGTGGTGGCGGTGGTGAAGGTGGCAAAAAGAAGAAAAAGAAAAAGAAGAAGAAGAACAACGGGGAAAACGGTGGTTCTGCATCTGTTCCTCCTAAGAATGGAGAAATTAGTAAAGTTGATGCATCGGTGGCTTCAAATTTGGGGACTTCAATGGCTGCGAAGGATCTTGTTAACCCTCCAATTCAGCATGCCTACCCTTATCCACATGTGTATTATTCACCTCCTCCTGCTCCTCCAGCTTATGGATTAAGCTATAACACAGCATATCCTATCTCAAGTGCTTCATATTATGTCGGGGCACCCATCATGCCCATGCATGCTTACGCCACTCCATACTCTAGACTGCCACCACCTCCTCCACCGTCCGATCCGATCAAGCACTATGGTGCAGATGATGATGATGAGGATGAGTATGGAGGTGGTGGATATTGCTCCATCATGTGACAGTGAAGTACTTGCTATAACTAGTGTTATTTATTACTTATCAGTGATAAAACTAGTTTAAATTTTGTAACATGTTCAACCAAATTAGAAATTAACTACGGTGTTCGATGCTTTGTCTCTGCTTCCTTTTTCTTTAACCTTGTTAAGAGTACAGCTTTTGTGGTTTCCTTGTAATGCTCTGCAATTTGTAGGTCCTGAAATCTTCATTTCCCTCTCTATCATATGTGTAAAGTATCTTTATAAGTAGCAGCTTTTCTTTTTCTCTTTTCATGTTTCATTGCTGACTAGTTACATGCTGGTAAATGGTTTTGCTAATTCTCATGCATGTTAATAAATAATTACTTCATACAATGCTTCATCCACTTCTGCAAAGCGATTCTCTACTTGGTTAAAACTGTTTATCTTTTGCTTTATCGTTTTTTGGCCTTTTGGAGGTATATATGGTAGTAGCATCGCACTTCCAAGGGATCTAAAGCTTGTTTCTATAGTTGTTGCCACGGCTTCTACTTTTTCCTCCTTTCTCTCAATACAGGGAACATGCTCAGCACCCGATCAATTAAGATAAAAGAAAAACAAATATCTTTTTCACAACTAAATTTTTTATATTCATTTCATCCTTTTTTTTTTTACTTTTTTTTTCCCCTTTCTTAAAAAAAATACAAATGTTTACATTTTATAACCATCTTATTCTTATATCATGTATAAAATAAATATAAAAATGTGTCATGGATCATTACTCTAAAATAAAACACCTCTATTTTTTTATTCACAATAATCTAATAGAGTAAAAAAAATCTTACATTATATAAAAACAAAGTTAAACATTATACGTATATAAAAAAATTATTATCTTAAAATCAATAAAAACAATTAGAATTCAAGTATGAGTCCAAGTCCCACATTAGATAAAAATGAGAAAATAGAACACAATATAAAGATAAAAGACTCATTAATCCATAACTTTAAAATTTTGGATAAAAAATGATGTCAATTCTTTGTGGTTGAGTTCATATCTCATTGGTATTATGTTTTTCCAACTAAGATATATTTAGCAACAATAATATAATCATGTCATATATGTATATAATGTTTTTAACCTTACCAATTTGGAGAAGAGTGATTGAATGGATTTGAAGGTAACTTTTTTGTTGTTTATTTGAGTGGATTTGGAGGTAAGTGAGAGTGGATTTAGAAGTAAATTTTTTTAATTTGTCACATCAATCAAATCCTACACTAATTCTCACAAACTTTACTTCCAAATTCACTATCATTTACTTCCAAATCCACTCAAATAAACAACAAAAAAATTTACCTTTAAATCCTCTCAAATTCATTCAATCACTCTCCCTCAAATCCATTCAAGTGAACAAAGCCTTAAAAAAGAAAATTCCCATCAAATTTCTGGCCTTTTTCTTTTTCTATCATAGGGAAAATGCATGTTTTCGGTGTTTCACTTGTGCAGGTTTTGCTTAGGTTTGGAGAGACGAGAATAGGCTTCAGTTAAGCAAAAAATCAATACTCTTGAAGCTGGCTATTTTTCTCCAATTTGTTACTTAACCAATAAGGAAAGTATCACATTAAGAAAAGTGGCACTCTTTTGTCTCATCATCCATTCATTAATCTCAATTTGTGCTGGCTGGACCCAATTGAGTTAGATAAATTACTATCAGTGAGTATAAAAGTACCTTTTTTACACCTAATTCTCTCAATTTGCGTAATAATACTATAAATTAAGCAGCGTTTGAGCTATTTAGGTGAATACGTTAAACAGTTACTTTATGTGATTCTCAAGATTCAAGCTAATTACTGTAATCAAAAGTAGAATATTCACAAGATTATACCTCTTCTTTCACACTGATCGCATAGTCATGTCAGAAAAAGTTTGAGAGTTTATATAACATTTTTGTGCTGTCAACGTATCACCATATATAAGCATCCAAAATAAGTTTGATAATCTGCAGCCCCACAATCCCTTCCAGAAAGCCCCACGAAGCTAATTGTGTGATTGATTGTAATTGAGACTAATTATTGTGTCAAAGAAAGAAAAGTTAATATTAGCATAGTATGATATGAAATTATGCACATTAAACGACAAATTTACAAGAGTTCACTGTTTTAAACACTGTCGTTTTTTGATGGATCTTCTGGATTATTAATTACCAGAATTTACGACAAAGCATATCCAAAAGTTCTGTTCTGTGTAGACTTTAGGTGCAAAGACGGAGGAGTGACATGATTTATTGGGTCCATGGTTGAGTTTATCGAGAAGAAAATTAACTGTGAATTACACAAACATTAATAATATTTGAATTAATTATATAAAAAATTGATATTATTTTTTATTCAAAACTTTAATGCAATAGATTAATGATTCATATACTGTTTTACTTTTTCATTTTTATTAAATGTGTTACTTAGACTTACTTGAATTTTCAACACTCTTTTACCTTAATATAAAAAATTCCCATTTTTGTAAAAATGGTTTTCTAATACTGTTACGATGTATTCAATAATCCCATTATTTTTTCAACTTTTTACAGTATCTTTTAAATTCCAAAGCGGTTGAATTGTATATTATCTTAATGAACTTGTAACCACACTCGTGCATTAATAAAACAAATGTGAAAGTTTGAAGAGAATAATACTATTTTTTGACTCTTTTGTATACTTGATTTACATGTACAGAAGAAAAGACTGTTATCTGATAATAAACATGCGTGAAGGATAAATGATTATANAATTTGGAGAAGAGTGATTGAATGGATTTGAAGGTAACTTTTTTGTTGTTTATTTGAGTGGATTTGGAGGTAAGTGAGAGTGGATTTAGAAGTAAATTTTTTTAATTTGTCACATCAATCAAATCCTACACTAATTCTCACAAACTTTACTTCCAAATTCACTATCATTTACTTCCAAATCCACTCAAATAAACAACAAAAAAATTTACCTTTAAATCCTCTCAAATTCATTCAATCACTCTCCCTCAAATCCATTCAAGTGAACAAAGCCTTAAAAAAGAAAATTCCCATCAAATTTCTGGCCTTTTTCTTTTTCTATCATAGGGAAAAATGCATGTTTTCGGTGTTTCACTTGTGCAGGTTTTGCTTAGGTTTGGAGAGACGAGAATAGGCTTCAGTTAAGCAAAAAATCAATACTCTTGAAGCTGGCTATTTTTCTCCAATTTGTTACTTAACCAATAAGGAAAGTATCACATTAAGAAAAGTGGCACTCTTTTGTCTCATCATCCATTCATTAATCTCAATTTGTGCTGGCTGGACCCAATTGAGTTAGATAAATTACTATCAGTGAGTATAAAAGTACCTTTTTTACACCTAATTCTCTCAATTTGCGTAATAATACTATAAATTAAGCAGCGTTTGAGCTATTTAGGTGAATACGTTAAACAGTTACTTTATGTGATTCTCAAGATTCAAGCTAATTACTGTAATCAAAAGTAGAATATTCACAAGATTATACCTCTTCTTTCACACTGATCGCATAGTCATGTCAGAAAAAGTTTGAGAGTTTATATAACATTTTTGTGCTGTCAAAGTATCACCATATATAAGCATCCAAAATAAGTTTGATAATCTGCAACCCCACAATCCCTTCCAGAAAGCCCCACGAAGCTAATTGTGTGATTGATTGTAATTGAGACTAATTATTGTGTCAAAGAAAGAAAAGTTAATATTAGCATAGTATGATATGAAATTATGCACATTAAACGACAAATTTACTAGAGTTCACTGTTTTAACTGTCGTTTTTTGATGGATCTTCTGGATTATTAATTACCAGAATTTACGACAAAGCATATCCAAAAGTTCTGTTCTGTGTAGACTTTAGGTGCAAAGACGGAGGAGTGACATGATTTATAGGGTCCATGGTTGAGTTTATCGAGAAGAAGATTATATGTGAATTACACAAATACTATTTGAATTAATTATATAAGAAATTGATATTATATTTTATCCAAAATTTTAATATAATATGTTCAACTTTTCTCATTTCTATCAAATATATTACTTAGACTCACTTAAATTTTCAACACTCTTTTACCTGAATATAGAAAATTCCCAATTTTGTAAAAATGGTTTTCTAATACTGTTACGATGTATTCAATAATCCCATTATTTTTTCAACTTTTTACAGTATCTTTTAAATTCCAAAGCGGTTGAATTGTATATTATCTTAATGAACTTGTAACCACACTCGTGCATTAATAAAACAAATGTGAAAGTTTGAAGAGAATAATACTATTTTTTGACTCTTTTGTATACTTGATTTACATGTACAGAAGAAAAGACTGTTATCTGATAATAAACATGCGTGAAGGATAAATGATTAAAATTTGGTTGTAGTAAATCATAATTTATAACTATATATAAAAACTTGTCTAGTCTTGAATATGAGAAAAAAAATACTAATCATGCTAATTAAAAAAGTTAGTTAACAACATTAATTGCACTAACTTTATGTTAAAAGTAATCACTTTTCTTAAGTTATCTTTCCTTCAAATTTGATAAAAAAAAAAGGGGATCATTGAAGATAAAACCTCAATTATTTGTATTTGAAATTGATATTAGCACAACATTTTGCTTATATGTATGATCAGATAAAATATTACATGAAATGTTTGTTTTTATTTGTGTTGTTTATTAGTCAATATTATAAATTTAAGGATTGAATAGAAATGAAAAAGTTAAATATTATATAATAAATAAGATTTATAAATCTATTCTTTTAAGACTTTTTTTTAAAAGTGATATTAATATAGTTGGACTCTAATAATTTCTTCCTAAAAAATCTTTTCTAGAAAAAAACCATCAAATTTTAATTTTATTTTAGTATCATAGAATGACATTAAATCTTTATAAATTAAAACAATTTGATAAAGAACAAAACAAACAATTTATATGATAGTGTCAGCAAATATGTCCTAATGAAAACAGCTTATGAAATAAATAAATAAATAAATATATATATATATATATATATATATGAAAAGAGAAGAGAAAGAAAATCTATGTATTTTAATGATGATAAAAGTAAATCTAAGAATTCAAAAGATATTGAAAAATTTATAGTTTAGTTTTAAGCTTTCCTAATAAGTCTTTCATATTTGTGTATAAAACTTAGTTTAAAGAGATACAAAACAGTCTAACACAAACTTACCTAGAAAAGACTTAAAAGTTCAAAAACATGATAATTGATATTAACTAAAGTGGTAATTAATTATTCAAACAATTTCAAATTTTTGGAAAAGG